GATGAACTTGATAACAACGAAAAATTCATTTTTGAAAAAGTATTCAATTCACCTGCTCGTTAAGTTGAGTGACGCGTTGATTTTGAGGTTTGTAATTCCTTCAAGAAAAATGACCAAAAAAGACCTTTTCGATGCTGGATTGTTGAAGGAGAACCAGGTCAAAGGAACGAATATGGCAAATTTCGGTAAATTACAAAGAAAACTCAAAGGAAAAGAACTGGTAGTAAACATCAAAATTTACAACAATTTTGATGCAAAATCACTCGAGGAAAGTGATGACCAAGAACTAAAAGCGGAAGTTCAAAGGTTTCAAGATTGGTACTGTGCCAACATTGAAAAAATTGAAGAAATTGCAAACAGGTTAAAAAGAAAAGAAAGGGCTGATGCTACTGAGGCGATACGTACTCTTGTTAAACAAGTTAGATTAACAAGTACAGATAAAACAGAAGCAACAGATATCGCTGAAGATTGCAGCAGTAGTGAAATTGATAAAGAAAAGAGAGCAAACGCCATTCAACACAGAAAGCAAATAAGGGCTTTATTCAAAAAAGAAGCAGAAGATTTCTTAAAGAGTTGCCCGGTCAAAAAATTAACTTTGAACACTGTGTTTGCTTTGATGACTCAAGAAGAAAAGAATCAATTCCCATGTTTATTCAATCTTGTGAAAAAAATGAATGCTAAGAGTCCAACCACTTGCCCAGTTGAAAGATCTTTTAATAAATTTGGACAACTTGAAAGAGCAAACATGAGCGTTGAAAAGAAAGTTGCTTACATGGATGTCGGGGATGCTCTGAAAAACTAATTACCAATTTTTAATTCGATTTGTTTAAATTAATATTTTTATATATAAAACAGTCAAAAAACCTCAAATATTTCGGGTTGTTTTTTATTGATAAAACAGTCTTAATAACCGTAATATTTCGGGAAGGGGTTTTACTATATTCAATATCATTTTCAACAATATCAAATAAAAGTATAAAACGACCCACCCATCACGGTGAACGGGCAGGAAGGAGGGCTATTGGAATGATTAAGGAATCAACCGACATCCTTTTTCTAAACCTCACCCTCTATTTCAAATAGAGATATACTATAAATTAATAGATATATACATAATTTAATATTATGGGTATTTAACTATACAATAACTATTGTTAATTATTTAATATACTAAATAATTATAATTTAATTTTCAAGATATAATTTATAAAAAAATTTAATTATATTATGAAAACTATAATTTAAAATCAAACGTATTTATCAAATCAAGCAGGTTTACTTTTTGAGAAAAATATGTCTTACAATGATAACCCATTTAAAAGAGATTTATGTCAAGTCGTTTGAAACTGAAGGAGACTTGTCACTGATAGTCTCAACTAAGATCTATGATCAATAACCGAACAGAGAAGAAGTTTGCGGCTGCTATATTCAAGTTCTCGATGTAAGTGGAGAAGTAATTTGGGGAGAAACTGTCTGTCAAAATTTGTTAGACAGATTTTATGTACTTTTGTAATAGTATACCATCACCTCTTGTTAGATTCATCCACGCAACTCATTTTATAATTATTGATAATGTTAAAGGTGAAGTAGGGAAAACAAATGCGGAGTGTTTGATAGCATTGAATGATGCATCAGTGACTATTGGAGATAAAGATATTATAGATAAAAGGCATGCGAAATCCGTTTTTAGGAAATTGCAAATGATCAGGGCAACAGAACAAGTCATCATGTGTTGCCTTCACAGACAGCGAGAGGCTGATTGGCGATGCAGCAAAGAACCAGATTGCGATGAATGTGAAGAATACAGTCTTTGATGCAAAGAGACTGATTGGAAGACGCTTCAGTGATCCAGCAATTCAAGAGGATATGAAGCACTGGTCATTCACTGTAGTCAACAATGGCAATGACAAGCCATTGATTCAGGTTGAGTACAAGGGAGAGACTAAGAAGTTCACACCAGAGGAGATCAGTTCGATGGTGCTGACGAAGATGAAGGAGACAGCAGAGGCGTTTGTTGGTGGGAAAGTCAACAACGCAGTCATCACATGTTCAGCCTATTTCAACGACTCACAGCGACAGGCAACAAAGGAAGCAGGCACAATTACAGGCATCAATGTGCTCGGAATCATCAATGAGCCAACAGCAGCAATAGCATATGGACTTGACAAGAAGACGGAGAGAGAAAAGAACGTCTTGATCTTTGATCTTGGTGGTGGAACATTTGATGTGCCACTTCTTGCTATTGACGATGGCGTCTTTGAAGTGAAGGCAACAAACGGCAACACACACCTTGGTGGCGAAGACTTTGATAACAGAATGGTCAACCACTTCATTGCCGAGTTCAAGAGAAAGTACAAGAAAGACATTTCAGGCAATGCACGAGCAGTCAGAAGACTCAGAACATCATGTGAAAGGGCAAAGCGAACACTGTCAAATGCAGCAACAGCAAACATCGAAGTCGACCAGTTGTATGAAGGCATCGACTTCTACACGTCACTCACAAGAGCACATGGAGTCCCATAGTTGAAGTCACATTTGACATTGATACAAATGTGATTCTGAATGTCTCAGCTGAAGACAAGACAACGGGAAAGAAGAACAAGATCACAATCACAAACGACAAGGAAAGACTCTCAAAGGTACCAATCAACAAGGTGGTTGCAGACGCAGAGAAGTTTAAGGCAGAGGACGACAAGATGAAGGAACTTATTGAGGAGAAGAATGGACTTGAAAACTTCTGCTACTCGATGAAAAACACACTCAACGAACAAATTGCAACAAAGCTCTCACCAGATGACAAGGCGGCGATTGAAGCAACCATCAAGGAGACGCTCGACTGGCTCGACAAGAACCAATCGGCATCAAAAGATGAATACACACAGAAACAGAAGAAGCTGAGGCGAAGATCAAGCCATCTTCACTCAAAAATTATCAACAGTATGCATCTGGTAACATGTCTGGTGTACAACAATTGGGCACAAATAAGAGCGACACATAGGGGCCGAAGATCGAGGAGGTCGACTGATGTAATTCACTTATCTTAACAAAGTTATTCGAAGTGACCCAAAAAAATTAATTTAAATTTGAATTAGTTTTTTAACTATTAATTTGTAACAAAATTACTAATTGTTTTGTGTTTGTCCATTATTAAATGTATTTTTGGAAATAATTATAATTTTTGATAGTAAATTAATAATAAAAATATAACACTTTATATAGTTTTAAAAACACAATAGACACAAAAAAGGATAATTTTATACACAGGAGAACATCCTTGATAACGGGAGGACGTCCCTATCTCACAAATTACCTATTTCCCCTATATTCCCATCCTTCTTCCCCATGTCCATTTTTTTCTTTATTTAAATAAAATATATTTTATTATTATGTATATTATATATATATAATCCATTATTATGTATTATAATGGATTATAATATAATATATCTTATATATCTAGTAATTTGATAAAAACATGAATTTAATTGTTGTTCAGAAATGCGTTTTTTGTTGTATATTAACAATAAAAAAAACATATTTGGGTCAAAAATATTTATTTTGGAAATAATTCCACAGTTTTATAGTCGATAAATTGGTAAAAAATATTTTTGAAATAACAAGATAAAAATGATTATCTTTTATTACAAATGAACAAATAGCTTGGAAATTATATATATTTTACTTAAAAAGATATAACCTTTTACCAGTTTATTATGTTGAAAAGATGCTTAAAAAAGATTAATTTAAAAAATATGTTGTTGTTTTAACTTAAATAGGAAGACAAGAAGATGGTTTTATTATAGTTAATTTTAATTGATTATTAATTAAATTTATTGTTGCTTTATTTGACTAAATATAAATTTCAAATTCCAAAATGAGTTTGTTTTCATTGTCAATTGATAAATCTTTTTGCATTTTTTGTATTTAATTTGAACATAAAAATACCAACAAACGGGCTTTTTAAAGTATTTTTAAATTGTGATGGCATTTGATAAAATTAAGTTGTCCCTCTTAAATAGAGTGTTTTTTCATAAAAAATAACACCATTTTGTTGTGGATTATAAAATAATTTATTAATAACAGTCATGTTTTACTTAATTTTTGAAGAGAAAATGAATTAATAACAATAGTTACATTACCATAATAAATAGTTTGTTGAATTAAGACTAAAATAAAATTTGTATATTAAAAACTAAGTTTATTTTAAGTGTTAAAAACAATATTTGTTTTGTGTATTAAATATTAACTTTGTGTTTCAAAAAATATGTTTTTCATTTTGATAAAAATATAAACAATATTTGCTTTTTATTTTTTTGACCAAAATATTTATTTTATTTAACATTGAAAAAAATCCATTTTATAAATATAAAATGAAACAAACCAAAAATACAATGAAAAAACACAATATAAATAGATGATCTGTAAAAATATTTGACAATAATTAACAATTGAGATATATGCCTCTTGGAGAAACGTTTTCAGTTTCCCCACAAGGAGAGGAAAGGGAACCCAGATATGAAGCGAAAACTAAGGACTAAATATATGGCAAGAGTCACCCAGGAAATGCTAGAGTTAAATTGTTGGGACCCGAAAGATGTTGAACTATGCTTGTGGTGTTTGAAGCCGAAGGAAACTTTGGTGGAAGGACTTAGGAGTGTTAACGTGCAAATTACTTGCAATATATGAGTATAGGGGCGAAAGACTAATCGAACTATCTAGTAGCTGGTTCCACCTGAATATTCCCTTAGGAAGGTTGAAGTAAGAAAGTAGTGACGATTGGTAAAGATAATGATTGGATGTAATGGAGAGCTTGACTTTTCAACATTTTAACAAACTATGAATAGTCGAGATATTCTAAACGATACTAATTTATTAGGAATGAGCATATGCGGACTTCAAATCGGCCAAGTCTAATAAGCAAGACTGGCGATGCGGGATGAACCGAACATACAGATAATGTATCCAAGTCTTGCATGAGGAGAACTATAAAAGGGTTCATTCACATTGAATCCAGGTTGATGGCCATGGAAGTTGGAAATCGCTAAGGAGTGTGTAACAACTCACTTATCGAATGGATGAGCCCAGAAAATGGAAAGTATTTTAATGAGAGAGAGTGATACTGTATCCTTGTTGAATCTGAGGCACATGAGGAGTAAGGAAATGCATGGTGTCAAGAATACTTGAGTGATAAAGGTAGAGAAGTAATTTCTATTGGAACAGACTTGAGTACAGATCTTGGTGTAAGTAGCAAATACTTAGAAGAGGAACAAAATATCTAAGGATTGAAAAGGAGAAAAGTTCCTAGACAACATTAATTGGAATAGGGTGAATCGATCCTAAAAGACAAACGGGGAAATGCAAGAATGAACTCATACACAAGGCTTACAAAACAACCATACCCAATGAATATATAAACTTGTATCACGAAGCTAAATCATTTTTAATGTATTAGTTTATTATTTAATTGTTTATAATTATAATAGTATAATTTATTTAATTCAATTAATATAGTAAAAGTGTTAGAATTTTTTTTATATAATATATAATTTCATTTTTGGTAAATTTTACTAAAAACTAAACTATATAAATTGATGTTTTAGTATTTTTTTGTCAAATCGGTTTGTTGCAATCAAAAAAACCAAAACAGTTCAAATCTATACAAAATTGATGTTAAAAAAAACTGAAATAATTTTACTCACGAACGTTTTTAATTTTTTGGCGTGAAAAAAATATGATTGTTTTCTTTGTTTTGTTTCATGGCAAAGTTGATTTTGTTATAATTTGTGTTGTGTGTATCACGTT